ACAGTTTTTCAGTTCGCGAGTTGGGGATTTTGGGTGGTTGTTTTGGTGACATCTGGTAGAGTAAGGGCTGTGAGATGTATAGAGGGAAATGAGGGCTTTCCCGATAATGTATGGATCCAACGGTTTTGGCAATGGTGTCAACTAGGGTTGTCAATAAATTGGATTTTGATTCGAATTTGATGAAACTAATCAGAGAAGGATTTAATTTTCAGTGCGATAATCTGATCAAGATCCGAATCTAATAATCCGTTAACTAAATGAAGCAAATATGGATATAAGTCAATCCGATCCGATTTGTTATAATAATTTAATATATTATGCCCCCGTTTAATCCCCATTTTTTGGACAAAATGTATTGTGGAATATTGATTTTTTGGAGAATATGTGGTTAAAAAGTAAGGAATTTTTTTTAAATTATGTTTATAATTATTTTACGGAAAAATGTGTGGTTAAAAATGAGATTTGAAAAAATGAATTTTTGAAAAAATGGAGCTCATATAGTGGCTATATATATTATTGCATAATTTTATTTTATTTTGAAACTCATATTACCATTTACACATAATTTTCAAATAATAAATAATATTAGATAAAAATATAGTATTGTTAATTGATGTACTTGGAGAGTTTTTTAATTTTTTATTAATTAAAATAAGATAAAAATAATTAATTTATCTTATAAATTAAACACAGTTGGAATTGCTATCATTGTTTCCCAACTTCCCACTTTTCCAACATCATATGTGTACTAAAATATCATAGGATTTGCAATCTATAAATATGTGGGCCAAAAAGTGAGTAAAAATCCATCTTATAGGGCTTAGGATTTGACTAATATAACATTTTTATCTTCCTACCTTTTTTTAAAATTTTGGATCTTGTTACTGGATAGAATATTTGATAACGTAGCAAATCGAATATAAATTTAACAATCAAATATTTGTTGGATTATCAAATCGAATCGAAATAAAAGCAGATCTGATCCATTTTACAACCTTAGTGCCAGTGATGGGGAAGCTAATTTCTGTTGATTCATTGATTTTGATTTTTTATTTGGGTTCCATTTAGCAATGGGGCAAATGGTACCAACGACTGTAGATTTGGTGGCACGCGATTTGGTTTTTTGTGGGTGTTGGGAAAGAATATAACAAGTAGTGGTGTCGGCCAATGTTGGTGGCTAATTTTCAGTCGTGGGGAATAGGCTATGGGTGAAGAAGAAATTATTTTTTATTTTTTCATTATTTTTATTTATTTAGTGTGATAATTTTAAAATTATCATTTTACCCTTTTCAATTTAATCAAAATTGATTGAAGTTTACTTTTATTGGTTAACTAACAATCATTAATATATTTGGATTTCAACTGCATATTTATGAAAGGCTATAGGGGCCTTTACTGACACAAAATGATGTTAGAGTAAAGTCTACAAAATTTTTCTTTAATCTCTTAGAAAGGGATTTATAAATGTCTATATGTTATAAAATGAGAGGAAAAGAAAATAGAGAAAACTCAATAAACTTTTTTT